CACCACTGTCCCTGGTTCCCCAGCTGCAGCCGGTCTTTCTGTGCTGTGCGTGTGCCAGCTCCTCGTGCCTCAGGGCCTCCGTGCTCCTCCACCCTCTGCTCGGAACACTCTTCCCCTAGGCCATCCTGGCTATTATAGTCAGCAAGGGCTCAGCTCAGGTCACCTCCTTAAAGACTCTCTTCAGCTCCTCACGTCTCAGACGCTGTTTTCTTCACAGCGCTGTTCACTGATGGTTGCCACCAATTCAACACCCACAGGGATCCAATTTGGGGTGCAGTGGAAAGGGAAACTTTATTGAGGAAAGCAGCTCAATTATGATACAGCAGGGTGGTGAAAACAACACAGGCATCAGACAGCCCTGGAGCCAATGGCTAGATAGCTATCTAACCAAACCTTTCTGGCTAGATAGTTCTGCTCCTCCATGCTCTGCTCCATGCCTGCCTGCTTTGTGCTGCACAGCTCTTCCCCACTGTGTGTCAGTTTGCTCTGTTTTGCTCACGTCTGCTCTGGCCTAGGCTAGTCTGCTCCCCTCTGCTCCAGAAAGTCATCTTCAGTGTTTCAGCTCAGCCACAGAGACTCAGTCTTCAGTGGAAGGGAAAGAAAGTACACTTCTGAGCCAGGGAGGGAACTGGCTTGTAAGGATAGAAGTCCCTGGCCCTGGTTCCTGACTGGTCTGTTCTTATGCTAATGAGGTCTCTGAATCCTCAGTTTCATTGATCCAAAAGGCACTGTCCTGATTGGTCAGGATAGAGCTGCTCTGGTTGGTTGGAGCTGCACAGCTCCAACTGGATTGGGAAAAGCCTCAGTCCTATTGGTTGAAATAGGATTCCAGGGACTCCTTTGTAGGGGCTGGCTCAGAGGGCAGAAACCCAGGGGTGGGCGGGCAGTTCAGTGCAGGCGGCTCGGTGAAGTGGTTTGCATGAGAGATTTGCGTGAGAGGCCCCTGTGTAGAAATGGCTGCTAGGCTCTGGTTTTTAAAAATCTGAGCCCAAACTGGCGAGTATTATAAGTGAAATAAGCCAGGTGGCAAAAAACAAATACCATATGATCTCACCTATAAGAGAAACTAGGACTTCCGGCCAAGATGGAGGCATAAGTAGACACTCTGTGCATCCTCGCACAACCAAAAAGAGAACAACAAATTTAAAAACAAAAACAACCAGAACTGACAGAAAATCGAACTCTATGGAATTCTGACAACCAAGGAGTTAAAGAAGAAACATTCATCCAGACCAATAGGAGGGGTGAAGACAGGCAGCTGTGGGGAGAGGACTCATGGCAAGGTGACGGCTGGTGGAATGGGCAGTCCCCCACTGGTGTGAGAATGAACCAGGAGGAACAACTAGGGAGCAAGACAGACTGTGCAACCTGGGGTCCCAGGGCAGGGAAATAAAGCCTCAAACCTCTGACTGAAAACACCCGTGGGGGTTGAGGCAGATCGGGAGAAACAGCCTCACAGGAGAGTTCACTGGAGAGACCCAAAGGGTCCTAGAACGTGCACAAGCCCACCCAAATGGGAATCAGCACCAAAAGGGCCCATTTTGCTTGTGGGTAGTGGGGGAAGTAACTAAAAACTCTCAGAGAGTGGAGCAAGCACCACTGTTCCCTCTGGGACCCCTGCCCACATACAGCATCACAACGCAGCCATGTGGGTTGCCCTGCCCTGGTGAACACCTAAGGCTCTGCCCCTTATATGTAACAGTCATGCCAAGAGAAAAAAAAATGGCCCAAATGAAATAACAGATCAAAGCTCCAGAAAAAAATACAACTAAGCAATGAAGAGATAGCCAACCTATCAGATGCACAGTTCAGATCCCTGGTAATCAGGATGCTCACAGAATTGGTTGAATATGGTCACAAATTAGATGAAAAAATGGAGACTATGCTAAGTGAAATAAAGGAAAATGTACAGGGAACCAAACAGTGATGGGAAGGAAACCAGGAATCATATCAATGGTGTGGACCAGAAGGAAGAAAGAAATATCCAACCAGAAAAGAACGAAGAAAAAAAATTCAAAAAAATGAGGAGAGGCTTAGGAACCTCCAGGACATCTTTAAGCATTCCAACATCCGAATCATAAGGGTACTAGAAGAAGAGGAGGAAGAGCAAGAAATTGAAAACTTATTTGAACAAATAATGGAGAACTTCCCCAATCTGGTGAAAGAAATAGACTTCCAGGAAGTCCAGGAAGCTCAGAGAGTCCCAGAGAAGTTAGACCCAAGGAGGAACATACCAAGGCACATCATAATTACATTAGCCAAGATTAATAAGCCAAGATTATCTTTATAAGGAGAGAATCTTAAAAGCAGCAAGACAAAAGAAGAGAGTTACCTACAAAGGAGTGGCCATAAGACTGTCAGCTGATTTCTCAGAAGAGACCTTTCAGGCAAGAAGGGGCTGGAAAGAAGTATTCCAAGTCATGAAAAGCAAGGACCTACATCCAAGATTGCTCTATCCAGCAAAGCTATCATTTAGAATGGAAAGGCAGATAAAGTGCTTCTCAGATAAGGTCAAGTTACAGGAGTTCATCATCACCAAGCCCTTATTATATGAAATGTTAAAGGGATTTATCTAAGAAAAAGATGATCAAAAATATAAACAGTAAAATGACAACAAATTCACAACTATCAACCACTGAACCAAAAACAAAAACAAAAGCAAACTAAGCAAACAACTAGAACAGGAACAGAAACACAGAAATGGAGATCACATAGAGGGTTAGCAACAGGGGAGTGGGAGGAGGAGAGAGGGAGAAAGGTACAGAGAATAAGTAGCATAAATGGTGGGTAGAAAATAGACAGGGGGAGGGTAAGAACAGTATGGGAAATGTAGAAGCCAAAGAACTTAAAAGTATGACCCATGGACATGAACTAAAGGTGGGGGGGGAAGTGGGTGGGAGAGGGTGTACAGGGTGGAGGGGAGTGAAGGGGGGAAATGGAACAACTGTAATAGCATAATCAGTAAAATATATTAAAAATTTAAAAAATACTCAATACTTTGATAATAAAAAGAGGGAGAGAAACCTAATGTACAAAACAAGCAAGCAAGCAAAACAGAACCAGAGGCATGGAAACAAGGGACGGACTGACAGCGGCCAGAGGGGAAAGGGGAGGGGGACAAGGGAGGGAAAAGGAGAAGAATCTAGTCAAGGAACATGTACAAATGACCCATGTACATGTACAACAGGATGAGGATTGACTGTGGGGGTGGGGGTGGGCAGGGCAGGGGAGAGCAACAGGGGAAAATTGGGACAACTGTAATAGAACAATAAATATACATGAATATATATGAGCCCAGTCAGCCACCAGAAGCCCTTCTTAGTAGGTGTCTTCTTTCACAGCACCCATCAGTATTTGCAATGTTCCCTTTTCTCTGTTTAATGTCTCCCCCACTGAACTGTACCGTCCCGGAGGGAAGGGACCCTGTCTCACTCAGTGTCCTCAGCACCCAGTGCGTGGCTGTCCTGCTCTCTGCTTCCTCCTTCTCTGTGCTAAGCTGCAAGTGGGGGTGTGGGGAAGCAAGAACAGGGGCCTTTCTCCAGCTTTCCTGAGACTGGGAGGCTGGATTAAAATCCTGGTAAGAGACGGGGGAGGTGTCTCTAAGTCTCCATCCCAGCCTCCCCACGTACAGCTAATCCTGCACCATCAGCCTGAGTCGACAACTCGGGTCTCCTTTGTGTAAAATCCTGAGTAGAGAACGGCTCCGGCCTCCATTCTGTTGGACTCCCGACCCAAGTGCCTCTCTGCCACCCACACAAAGGTGCTCCCTCTGTTTGCTGCTTTACTTTTAAATTGGACTCTCTGAGACCATGCTCAGGCAGAGTGGGTTAAAGCAGACACCTGACAGGTGCCATGCTGTACATGAGACCACATCCCTTGGGGGCGGGGAACTGTGCAGTCAGGCCTGGGTTCAAATGTGACTCCAGGCATCCCTAGCTGTGCGGCCCTAAGCTGAACCTCAAGGCCTGCTTCCTCATCTGTAAAATTGGGATAATAATTGGACCTGGGTGCTAGTGCTGACATAGTGGATATACAGCATCTAACATATCGCTTAGCACTAAACAGTTATGGCTGGTTCAGGCTCCACCATTCACTGTTGATCTTAGCAAGTCCCTCTTCCTCTCTACAGCAAAGTTTCCCCATCTGCAAACCGTGTGTGTGGAGGGGGGAGGTGGCTCTGGCAGCTAAAGGGTTAGCTTTGGGCTCAGCACAGTGCAGACATTTTTAACAAACATCAGGTTGCATGTAAGGTAGTGAGCTCCCGTCACCGCTAGTGCATTGTGCAGAATGCCAGAGCAGGAAGGAACCTCAAACAGCCAAGCCCCTCACTTTGCAAAGGTGACAAAGCAGCTACTCGGGGACACAGAATGATCACATAGGAGGTTAAGCTCCCTGCCTGCCTCTGAAGCCCACTCCACCATCCCACCTACCTGGATGTCCAGAACAGATCAGCTACAGTGCCTGGGTGAGACACTGCCTGGGCTCAGCTATGGGCCTGCCACCAACCAGCTGTGTGACCTTGGCAAAGCAGAGCAGCAGCTGTTGCTGGTGCCCCTGAAAGTGGCCATCCGACGGTGATGGGAGTGGGTGGACAAACACCCCAGCCCCCCACCCTTGGCAGGGACACTGCAGGCGTGTGCTGTGCGCAGCTTTCCAAAGTGGCTGGCAGGACGGAGCGGCGGCTGCCCACACCGACACTGTCAGATAACACCCTTTAGTGCCTCCTGCCCTTCCCTGCCTCCTGCCCCACTCCCCAGGCAGTTTCCTGGGAGCACCTCCTAAATCAACTAACTGCACTTGAACCCCTGTCATGGGGACACCTAAGCAGAGAGAGCAAGTTATTTAACCTCTTGGGCCCGGCTCCCTGGATGGGAAGGTTCTGTGAGTCAGTAGAGACGACGCACTGACCACGGCGCCTGGCAGTGTGTTTGCTTCGCTAGTGACGAGAGACACAGAACCTTTATTTACAGAAAACTCCGCCCCTCCCACCCCACCCTCCTCAGCGAATACAAACCCGGGTTTCAACAAGCTCTGAGATGCGCACACACAAGTGCCACTGAAGCTCAGGTCTGGGCCAACGTGCAGGCTGAACGTGCCCAGTGTCGGCGCCTGGAATGCCCAGCTCAGCCGGGTCACAGGCGTGAGGCTCTCCCTCTAGCCTCGTGGCTGCCAGCAACCGTGTCCATGGGGGCACACACCGGCCCCAAGGGAGCTGGGTGTTTATTCTGGGGACCCCACACTTAACAGGAGCCCCCAGGCTTACAGCTGTGCAGGGCTGACAGCAAACTCACCGCTTGGTAATCACCCTCTTTTGTGGGCCTGTCACCCCCCTTGACTAAGCAGCCCCCACGGCCCAGATCCTGCCTCCAGCGTCAACCTAATGAAGCTCTGTTGAATGAATGGGCACCTCTGGGCAAATAACCACCCTCCCAGGGACTCACTTTCCCATCTCTTTCCCAGGCCTCCCAAGGCCTCCCCTGCTGGCGGGGTTACTTTCTAGGCTCAGTGTCCAAGCCAGTGACATGGCAGCAGCTGGTCCCAGGACTGGGCAAGACACGGGCAGTGAGGGCCTAGATGGACAAAACATGCCTTGGGCGGGCAAGATGGGGACACTATGCTGGAGAAGCTGTGGACCAAAGAGGTGGCAACAGCGCCTCCAAGTCTTGGCAACCTGCCAGCGGGGCTGCCTTGCGGGGAGGCGTCCGCAGGCGCAGGCAAGGCACTCAGAGCAACCAGGGGGCCGCACCTAGGATGCACTCGTGCACGTGGGCCCTGCAGGGGGCACGACCACAACTTGGGGGCTCTGGCTCGGGCTCTGAGCCTTGCCAGGGCCAGGCTGGAAGAACAGGGAGGGCTTGCCCTCCGGGGGAACCCCACCTGGCAGGGGGTCTGGGTCCCTCAGAGGGCTCACTGGGGGCTCGGACCTGTCTCCACAATGGCAGCCACAGCAGGGGCTGGACACAACCTGGGCCTGGCCGTGCTCCTCCTGGCTGTCACACCGCTTCAGGTGGCCGCACAGGTGGCAGGTGAGGGCTGAGTAGACAATGCCGCTGCCCAGGTCGTCCCCCAGGGGGTCTGTGGTCAGCTCCAGGGAGAGCAGGGGCTTCTGGTGGTCCTCCCCCTTTGCCACTGGCTCCACACAGGGGCCGTTGGGGCAGCTGCTTGGGAGGAGTGAGTCCTGAGAGCTGTGAGGCGGCTCCATGTCCAGTCCAAAGGTGAACAGGGGGTCAGGGGCAGGAACCCCAGGGGGGCCAGCAGTGAGGCTCTGGCAGGGCCTGTAGCACCCCTCCCCGCTGCTGGCCTCAACCCCAGGTGTGCCTGGGCAGGTGGCACCGCTGGTGAGCAGGCTGGAGAAGGCCTTGTACCCAGCTGCTCCGGAAGGGCTGCAGCCCGACGACCCACCGCCCAGGGCGCTGCCCTGCTTCACCGCGCACACAAACTCCCGATAGCCGCTGGGGGCGGCCACGGCGGGGGCTGCGGTTGCCCTGTGCTGCAGGACGCTCTGGCGGAGCACCTGCTCCCAGGTTTCTGGCTCAGGCTGGAGTGCAGCGGGTGGCTCAGAGGGCTGGGGAGCAGAGAGGATGTTGGGGTCCCCTCCCCCCAGGCGTTCGGACAGCTGTGTGTCTGAGGCAAGCTCTCCTGCACCTGAGGACTGGCTCAGGAAGTCGCTGAAGCTGCGGTAAAAGGGGTTGTCGGCGACGACGACAACAGCGACAGAGGGCATCTCTGGGAAAGCCAGGCAGGCGGGGCTCTGGGTCAGAGGGGCCGACTCCGGGCTGAAAGGCTCCTCCCTTGGTAACTCAGCCCCAGGCATCTGAGCACTCCCACCTTCTGAAGGTGCAGGAAGGCAGGACTCCCCCAGGCCCTGCGGGCAAAATCCCCCATTCTCAGCCCCGAGAAGGTCCAGGAACAGGCTCTCTGTCAGCCGGGCTGCGATGCCCTCCCTGCTGTCCTGGAAGCTGCCCCCGCCGCTCTCAGGGGACGGGCAGAAGCTCCCTTTCTCCTGCTCCACTTCCTCTTCCTCCTCACTCTCCACCTGGGCCTCTAGCAGCTCCACACACTTCACCACGCTGACGCTCTCTGGCGAGAGGATCCTCGTGCTGACCGCCCCAGGACACCACGGTGGTTTCCCAGGCCCCTGGGAAGGCCCCTTTCTGGCAGCCTTGGAGGAACTGTCACCCCTTTCCGTGTCATGCTCCAGCAAACAGGGCAGGAGCTTAGTAAGGCAAGTCTTCCAGTGCCTGCAGAAGCAAAGATGGGTGGGTCAGGGTTCAGTGTCTCCACCGTGAAAACTCCTATTCATCCTTCACAGCCCAGCTTAGTATCTCCCTGGGCTGATGTCTGCCTATCGCAGGCATGCTCTCTGACTTTACAGCCAAGAACCCACCAGTCTGTCCTACTGCTACCCTGGGAGCTCCCTGAAGGCAGGGCCTGTGTCTTCCCTTGGGGTGTCTGAAGACCAGCACACAACCTGGTACTTAGTACAAACTCATCTATAAACTAAGGAAAACACTTTGTCAGGGATGATGGTATTTAGAATACTTATCGCCACACAGCCTACGTAATGACCAGTTAGAATGGCTGTAGGATCCTGAGGCTCCTGGCGCCCCGAATTCCCCTGCTGTGCCAGGTGTAAACCCTTTAGCTACTGGACTGTAGGTAGGCCCAGGAGGCCCTCGGCGGGAGCTAAGGAGGCCAGGGTGGCGGCGGCACACTCAAGGGTTTAGGATAGTGGTATTTGCCAACCAGTATGCAGTGACTCAGCATTCTCACAGCTGGCACAGCTGCACTGGCAGTCCACTTCACCAGCCTCGCTCGGGCTGGACTGTGCACTCCCAAGGGGGTTCACCACGTGCCTGACACACCAGGTGATGCACGGGGGTCAGCCAGCAGCCCACCTACCCAGCCACTCCTCCTCCTGCTGCCCCTTGAAGGAGAAGTGCTGAGTGCCAAGGGAGAGAAGGCAGACACAGAGGGGGGTGGGACCCCCTCTTATGACCCCCCGCCCACCACACCAATTCCACCCCCTTCCAAATCCGCACAGGCTGTGCCCGAGGCTCATGTACATACGGGCGCTTGGCTGGTTCCTGGCCTCCGGGCCTCTTCTCCCACAGTGACACCTGGAACAGAGACAGCCAATGAGACGCAGCGGAGAGCCCTCCCAGCCCGCCTGGCGCACGGCGAAGCTCGGAAAGGAAGCACTGCGAGCCTCGACACCAAGGGAAGGCTGTGAGCCTTGGCATCACCGGGTCCGAGGTCAGATCAGCTCATTCGGCCCTCTGAGCCTCAGTTCCCTGAGAATTAGTGAGACGACCCTAATATTAAGTCGCTGAGGCCGATGGGAAAAATGGCCACAAGTCATCTATAGCTCCTCCCACCGCTTGAATCCAGCCTGGCCATGTGACTTGCTTTGGCCAATAGAATGTGGTACAAGTGACACTGTGCCAACTGGACCGGCCTGCTGGAGGATGAGAGACACATGGCTTAGTCACCTCCATTGCCCCAGGCGAGAGCCAGACAACTGCTGACCTGTGAGGGAAGCCACTGGGGACCAGCCAGCCCAGAGAAGACGTACCTGGCCTGGCCCTGATCCCCCCACCCAAACCCACTGCTGAGCTGACCTGCAGAAGCAACAGTACAGACGTGGCTGTGGTTTCAACTAAGGTTTGGGATCATTTGTTACACAGCAAAAGCTGACCGATACATAAATGACACTGTGTGCAGGACCCTGTAATATACACTTTACATGCATTGTCCTGTTATATAAACACTGCTATAACCCACTGTGGAGGGTGGTGAAGGCTGGCACCAAAGCTCAGGTTGAGTGCTTGGCAAGGCTGCACTTGACTGCTTGTATCTGCAAGGTAGATCAAGGCAGCAGCGACAACAGCCAGGACCCGCAGGGGTTAAGAAGGAGATAGTTAACCACAAGCTTCAGCTGAATGTGACTGTAACTTTTGCAGAAGAAGTATTTACCATTTAGATAGCCTGAGAACGGAGCAATTATGCCTGCAGTTTTTTCCTGAGTCTGCAAAACGTCCTTGAGCTTTATCTAACTAACTCTTATAAAATAAACATGGAGACCATGTTCAGGGTCATTGTCTCTCCATCAGAGGACAATGCCCCCACCAGCCCCTAATTTTCCTTAAAACTGTCTGTGTCTTTCTTAATCTCCCATCACCATCTCCCTCTGCCAGGGACCTCCTCCCTGCACTGGTCGCAGCAACCCACATGAGAAAACTGAAGCTCAGAGAAGTTAAGCCACTTGCTCAAGTCCACCCTGCGGGTAAGTGGCAGAACCAGGGCTCAAAGCCAGCACCACTGGACTCCAGAGCCTGCCATAGGGTCCCTGGAGAGCTGAGAACCCTCAGACCTTCTAGACAGGACCTGCATCCCACTTCCCTCCTTCCTAGAGAACCCTGACGTCTCAGGCAAACCACACAGGCCCTCGCACTGGGGAAGCTGGCCCCGTCCCCAGCTCCGGGGTGGCCACCTGGTGGGTCTCAGGCACTCCCACTCCTCACAGAGGAAGGGTTTGGGAAGCAGCACGTGACACGGTTCAGGCCAATGGGAACGAGGAGGGGTTGCTGGCACTTTGGCAGCAGTTTCCTGACCGAAAGAGGAAGACACAGGAAACGCGTCCTCACCTCCCTCTCCTGCTGGCCGCCCATCCTGGTACCTCCCCAGGAGATGACACGCAGGTGACCTCAGGGGTCATCTCCTCCCAGTGGGGGCAGGGGAAAGAACCCAGACACCAACCTGAGAGGAACCCACTGAAGGCTGAAAAAGTAGCAACGAAAGCTGAGCAGAGGGGAGGGGAAGCAGACCAAAGGGGCTCCTAACGACCACACTGAGCTGTGAGTCCACCTCCCCTGAAACGTCCCTGGCTGCTCAGAGCCACTCCCAAAGCCGGTGAGTGTCCTCCACGCCCCACACGTCCCGGATCCCGTTTCCTGATACAGACAGTCTGGAGCATCGGCACCAACCCACGCTCCTACCTGAGGCTCCTGGATGCCAGCGGCCACGAGGGGGCTGAGGGCTGGGCTGGGGATTTGGTCCCACCACTCCTTAATCCTGAGAAAGGAAAGGGAAAGGTGTTGGTCTCTCCTCCCATAACAATGACCACAGTCGCCAGCTCTTACCAGGGCTCAGAGACCACGCTGATCGGTTTTGGATGCCTCACCCTAGTCCCATGAAACAGGTTCTGCTGCCAACCCCACTCACAGAGGAGCAGACTGAGGCCCAGAGGGGGAAGTGCCAGTCAACAGGCAGAAGAGCCGGGCCGTGCTCCAGCATTCTGCCACCCAGGACAGAGGTCCTCACTCGACGTCTCCATCCTCAGTGGGAACAAGCCCCAGAGAAGGAGGAGAGACTCAAGCTGCAGGGAATTCTGGGCTTCCCCATCAAAATCCCCTCCACGGAGCAGCGGAGGGCAAGGTGCCAGAGAGAGGCCGGGCTGGCCTGAGACGCTGAGGAAGCCCAGGAGAAACAGATTCCTTCACTCTCCCTGGGTCAGCCTGGAGCCACGGAGAGTCAGCTCCAAGAGGGAAGGTCCTCAGATTCCCCCTGGACGAGCCTCTGCTGACTCTGCTCAGTCAGGCAACATGTCTTCACTGAGCACCTACTATGTACCAGTCACTGTGCCAGGTTTCAGGGACACAACAGTGAACAAGACAGACAGAAGCCTTGTCCTCACAGACCTTCTAGAAGAGGGAGACAGATACAGAAATGAACACATGGCACCCCACTAAGTGCCATGGCATTAAGTGCCATGAATAAAAATAAAAAAGGGAATACAGAGGAATGAAGCCTGTGACCCAGGAGGGCCTCCCTGAGGAGGTGACCTCTGAGTGGTGACTGAAGGTGGGCGAGGAGGGATCATGGCGATGCCTGGGGAAGGGCTTTCCAGTAGGGAGCACAGCGAGTGCAAAGGCTCGGAGAGAACTTGCTTGGTGGGTTCAAAGAATAGTGAGGAGACTGGAGAGCTGGAACACGGTGAGTGGGGCTGGGAAGGACAGGCGGTGGGGAAACTGAAGGGGAAAAGACCGGCCCAGCATGGCTAAGAGGTGTCGGTGACAAGAAGGGCAGCCCCTTGCAATCCCTGCACACTGAATGTGCGCCCAGCAGAGCACGGGCGCCCTCAGCCACCACCGACCCTGACGTGGGGGACAGGGCTTGCCAGTCCCACTTCAGAGATGGGGAGACTGAGGCTCTGAGCTGCCACGCTTCCTCGGGCTCAACCTCACTGGGAACCAGGCTCCTCCTGCCCTCCAGCCCACCGCGATCCGAGACTCTCTTGGCGCCCTTAGAGCTGATGAAGTAAGTCCTCACCACATCCCAGCCCGCAAAGGAGGAGCCCAAGGTGGACGGTCACACAGCTGCCCAGCACCAGGGCCGGAACCCGAACCCCGGTCTCCTGATTCTGCCAGGGCAACTGTCTCAAGTTCTCGTCCTCCTGTCATATGCCCCCCGCTGTCTGCCTAGATCACACCCTGGGCACGATCCACCTCCCTTTGCCAAAGGAGGTCCCTTCCCCAGCCCTACCCAGGCCAGCTCATCCCCCAGTCAGGGCCTGCCCTGGCCTCCCCACCTACATCAGCACCTGGAACCTTCCTGCCCTTCCCCTGGTTACACTTCCTTCAGCCGTGGATCACCATGGAAATGGTGTGGCTATTTGTCCAGCTGACATCTGTCTCCCACAAGGAGCACAGGGTCTTTGTCAGTTTTGTCTCAGTTGTTGCCTCAGTGCCTCGCGCACAGCAGCTGCTCAATAAACATTTACCGTGGAGCAAAGGATTGCCAGCTGATAAACGAGAGGAGGGACTCCTGCCCACTGCGCACCCCGAAGGGGCCGGCCCCACACTCACTTGATGATGCTGCAATAGCAGGACACACAGACGACCAGAATGACCATGCAGGCGACGGCAACGCCAAGCTGGAGGTGCTGCTCCCAGGACCCTGTGTGGTCTGGAAGTGGGAGGGAAGCCGTGAGCCTGCATCGTGCTGGGCGCAGCCCGGCTCCACTTCCCGGAGCTGGAGACCTGGCCTCAGGAAAGGGCCCTCCCTGACCCTGCATGATCTGGCCACCACCAAGCCCTCCACCTCAACCCCTCCTCCCTCCCTTGTGCTTTGAGCCCCTGTCACACTGGTCCTCGCTGTCCCCTGCTCCTCCAAAGCTCAGTGCCACCTCAGGATCTTGAATTTGCTGCTCTCTTTCCTGGAGCATAGAGGTCAAAGGCAGTGACCCTGGACCACCTGAGTCCAGCGCCCGACTGCCATATCCTCACCGGTGACCCAGGACGAGCCCTGCACACCCTCTGAGCCTTGGTTCCTCATCGGCGCAGTGGGGGTGACAGTGGCACTCATCTCACAGGGTCGGGCGGGTCACGTGACTGAACCCATTCCGCACCCAGAACAGTGCCGGCACACCCCCCAGCGTCCGCCGTCACCGTCTGCACACGGCCGGCTCCTTCCCTCGCTCACTTCGCTGCTGCCTGCTCGGACCCCCGCACCCTCTCTGCTGGTGCCCCCTCATCACCCCACGCCCCACTTGGCTCCACTTCTTCCCAGACTCACTACCGTCTAGGTCTAGCTCTGATCGCTCTTGGGTTCACTTCTTTATTTCCTGCGTCCCCCTCCAGAACGCTAGTCCCACAAGAACAGAGGCTTCTGTCTGCTTTGGTCACTGCTGATTCTCCGGCATTTAGCGTGGGGCCAGGCACATAGTAGGACCTCAATAAATACTTGTGGAAATAATGAATGCGTGTCTGGCACACCGCACATGTCCCATACATGCTATTTCTCGTCCTTTCCCGTCCCTTCCCCAGGCAACGTTAGAATCAGATCAATTCAACAGAACTTTCCCAAGGGCTTGCTGTGCGCCTGGCCCTGTTCTGGCGCTGGAGACACAGACACAGGGTAGACACTACCCACGGAGCTCACAGCCCAGCGTGGGAGACAGGTGGGCGAAGAGACATCCTCGGAACAAGGCAAGCAGTGGATGGGTGGATGGATTGGTGGGTGGCATCAGAGTACCTGCCAAGCACCACGGTGCCCAGCACCACTGTTCCCAGCACTCTGAAGAATCCATCTTTCAGACCTGGCTGGTGTGGCTCAGTGGATTGAGCACTGGCCTGCTAACCAAAGGGTCACCAGTTCGATTCCCAGTCAGGGCAAAAGCATGGGTTACAGGCCAGGAGGGGGCGCATAAGAGACAACCACACATTGATGTTTCTTTCCCTCTCTCTCTCCATTCCCCTCTCTCTAAAAATAAATAAAGAAAAATCTTTTAAAAATTAAAAAAATAATCCTTCTTTCAGTGAAAGTTCACAACAGCCTCCCTCTACTCACTGAGCAGACAATGCCCGAGGCAGCCTCCCCTTCCCTACCTCCCCTTCTTTACCAGGTAGCAATGTGCCCACCTGGGAAAGTCCACTTGTAAGACTTCATTTTATGTGAGATAATTTAATATTTCTATTGCAAAAGTCATGTGATAAAGTTGCAAAGTGTTGTTTTGGGGGTGCAGCTACTAAGTGAGGGGCTACATTTACCAGACTCCCTTGCAGCTATGTGTGGCCATGTGGCCAGTTTCACCAATAGAGCATGAGAGGAAGTGATGTGTGTGTGTTGCTTCCAGGCTAAGGCTTTTAAGAAGCGGGTGAGGTCTCCCGGCTCTCATTCCCCTTCTGCTGGCTGGGTGCAGGCAACGGCAGGGCCCTTAGAGACCCTTAACTTGGGGTCCACACACCTCCAACGAGGTTGCAGGTAGAATTCAAGGGTCTGGGAACTTGGACGGGACAGAAATGACACCTTCACTTTTCACTAACTTCTGACACCTAGCATTTCCTCCCGTTAGGAACAGAGGGAGCAAACCACAGTAAGAGCAGCATCACTCACTCAGTTCCCAACAGAAATCACAGCTATTCTCATATCGCATCACAGCTGCCAGACCATGAACTATCCCTTCTGCTCGTCCACTCAGGAAACTTAAGTGTTCCTGAGTGTTTATGGAACCTCAATGTTTATGGGAACTGCCACCAGAGCTTGCTTTCAATGTGTGAATATATATTCCTAGATAACAAATACATTTTAAAATATTTTTATAATTGCATTTCAATAAAATTAGTTTTCCCCTGTATCCTATGTATTTTAATATTTATTTATAATTATTATTTTAAAAGATCTTAATATATTTATTTTTAGAGACAGAAGAAAGGAGAGAAAAAGAGGGAGAGAAACATCAGTGTGTTTGCCTCTTGCGTACCCCCTACTGGGATCCTGGCCTGCAACCCAGGCATGTGCCCTGACTAGGAATCGAACCAATGACCCTTTGCTTTGCAGGACAATGCCCAACCAATTGAGCCACATTGATAAGGGCTATGTATTTTATTTTATGCATTTAAAAATGTTATTTTGGCCCTGGCCAGTGTGGTTCAGTTGTTTGAGCACAGTCCCATAACCAAAAAGTTGCAGATTTGGTTTCTAGTCAGGGCACATACCTAGGTTACGGGTCCAATCCCTGGTCCAGGTGTGTATGGTCCCCAGTCCAGGCTTACACAATCCCCCATTCAGGTGTACACAGGAGGAAACCAATCAATGCTTTTCTCTCGTATTGATGTTTCTCTCTCTCCCTCCCTCCCTCCTTCTCTCTCTCAAAGCACTGAAAAAAATGTCCTTGGGTGATGATAAAAATAAATATATATATTAACTTAGGGTTAATTTATTTATTTTAAATAAATATTAAAAAATAAAATACATAGGATTAAAGGGGAAACTAATTTTATTGAAATGTAATTATAAATACATATATTTTACTCTGAGTGGGGTGCACTCCACAGGCTCCACCTGACTGCCAAAGGGAGGGGTCCATGCTACAAAAAGGGTTCATCGTCTTTGCCCTAGAGAATGGTGGGACCTCCAGGAGGAAAACCGCCCACAGGCCAGCAAAGTTCCTGTCGGACGGCTACCCAGGCAAGAAATACATTTGCACGGCGTTAACGCACGGGCTTGTGGGCTCATCCGTTCCTGCAGCCCAGCCTCCCTACCCGGGCCAGTGCACTGGGTCAGTTTGAACCCTGTGCCCTCCAGCTAGAGGCGCCCTCTGACACGGAAACCCAGCTTCTCGGCAGGGGGAGCATCTGCTCAGAGTGAAAGTGGGGAGGAGAGACTCTGAGTGCTCAGGACTCACAACAGATACTCACGGTTAAGCCACGTGACGCCGGGGCTCCACTCACTCCACGTGCTGTTGTAGCTCTGAGCCCAGGCCCTCACCCGCGCGCGGTAGGAAGCCCCAGGCTTTAGGGTGCTGGCTGGGAGGCGGAGGGTGGGCTCCCTGTAGGTCACGTCATGGACTGTGCACTAGTGGAGGAAAGGAAGATGTTACTGCACCAGCTGCGGGAGGGGAACACCAGCTCCCACTCTGGCTGCTGACCTTGGCGGACCCCACGGTGGTTAAGAGCCACCAGCCTGGGTACTTGGTTATTCCTGCAACCCCGGCATCATCTGGCACCTCCACCAGAGTGGCAGGGCACGGGTCCAGACAGCACCCTCCTCCGCCCTCCCAACCCCTACTGACTGGCCACACGGCATGACTGGGCAAGAAAGACTGTTTCCTCATCTGTAAATTGAGGGTAAGGGTCCCTCCTGTCACTTTCTGGCTGTGTGACCTTAGGTAAGTGACATAACCTCTCTGGTCCTTGATGTCCTCTTCTACAAAATGGGGATCATAAAAGTGCCTACCTCCCAGGGTTGTTGTGAGGATCAAATGGTAAGCCCTTAGGATGGGGCCTGGCATGCAGGGAGTGTGCCAGTGACCTTCCTGAAGCACAGACAGAGTCGCTGTGCCCCTCGCTCTCCTTCGTGGGCTCCCAGAGCCTCCACGGTCCAGCCCAAACTCACTGGCCCCGAATCTCAGCCCCGCCCACCTGCCCCCACTGGCGAGATGATGATTAGTACGTGTTGTCTGCTGCCTTTTGTGTTAAAAAAAAAATGGTGGTGGGCAGACTCTGAGAGTCCCCCACCTTGTAGCACGCCCCTGGGTGGTCCGGCTTCTCTAGTGTGGGCGGGACCTGTGATGTGTTTCTAACCAACAGGCGGTGCAAAGGCGATGGTGTGTGGGACTGCGCCCACGTGGCTGTGCTATGCAAGGCTGCAATCCCAGCTTGCCACGACACCTCTCTCTGCCCCTGGCTGGCCTGCAGAAGGCCTCCTGCCAAGGGCCAGCAAGAACCTGAGGCTCTCGGTCCGACAGCCCCCGAGAAACCGAATGCCGCCAACATCACAGGAGCTTGGGAGTGACCCTTCTCCAGCTGAGACAGGCGAGATGAGACCTGGCCAACCCCCGGCTGCAGCTGGGGACCCAGCGAGCTGTGCCCAGACTCCCGACCCCCTGAAACTGGGGCAGTAACTGTGTGCTGTCGCTATTATGCAGCAGTGGGCTCAGTGGTGGATGAGCACGCACGCTTGCCTGCACAGGCATACACCCCCTCCAGAAGGAGACATGTGCCTCACCCTCCCCCTGCTCCAGCCAGCCTCCCCGCCCCCCTGGCAAGAGGCAGAGCAGTGGTCAGCCTATGGGAAGAGGAACTGGAGGTTGTTGGTGGAAGAGAAACACATTTTCCTTCTAAGTCCTTTTCTGCTATTTGAAACTTTTACTTCACATAAATATTACTTTTATTTAAAAAACTTTTACAAAATAAAAAGTGAAATAAAGTCTGTGTTCAATTCTGCCAGCAGGTGCGTGGCCCGAACCCTCTGCCTGGGGCTCCTCTCCCTGAGGGGCCGATCCCTTGTGGCTCTCCCTCCACCTCGGCCCCTGCAGCGCCTTCCTGGTCCTGGCAGCTCCCGCAGTTCTGCTCCCACTTGGGCTGGAAAGCGCTGAGGACAAAGGTCTGGCGTAAAGTGAGCTGAGGGGAGGCTATGCAACGAGGAAGCAAAAACCTTGACAGGCTGCTGGGGAAACTGGGGAAGCTGGAGCTCCCAGGGAGCTGGGGACAGGGTGGGAGCTGCGCAGACCAGAGCTGAGACGCCAGCACTCTCAGCCTCAGTGTTCCTCGCTCTACACACGGTATGCTGGAAGCAACAGCTGGACCCACTTCACCGAAGGAACCAAACACCCTGGCGATGAGTGGGACAATGGGAAATGTGTTGTTGCTAAGGAACGACAGAGAAATCAAGCTCCCAAGGAACACTTTGTGGTTGGTTTTTGAAGAAAAGGCCAGGTGTTTGGGAGACCCCTCAGAGAGAGACCCTGGGAGGAGAGATGGCGTGGGCTCTGGAGGTTGGGTCCTGCGGCAGGTGCCAGCCCCGCTCCCCCGGCAGCAGGACCTGACCGGGGCAAGGGACCCACCTTTCCAGGCCTCAGCGTCCTCGTCACTGAAATGGAGATGAGCGTCCTGCTCACAGGGCTTTCACAGCCGTTGGTGACTATGTCGTGAGGACACAGAACAGGCACACGAGAAACGGTGACCTCGTGACCGTGAGTATGGCCGTTATGGCCTGGAATGGACTGGTGGCCTCATTTCCTGTGTTTTTTGCCCCACATACTCCCCCCTCCCGATAACCCTCAGACATGCCATGAATTTGCATGTCTCCAGGCCTTCGCTCACGTCGTTCCTTCTGCCTGGCCCAGCCTTCCCTTCCTCCCTCATCTAGGATACTCCTGTGCATCCTTCAACGCTGAGGCCAAAACTCCACCTCCACCACAGAACCTTGTCTAGAAGTCAGCCAGGACAAAGAGTAGCTCCTTTTCCAAAATCCTACAATAAGCTCCTAATATCTCTTCTTAGAATTGGCCCCATTCAGTCTGAGCCACAGCTGCTGTCTGCAGTGTTGTAGCAAATACGGCGGGACACCAGTCCAGAATCTGTGCCACTGGGGTCAGGTGCCCACAGCTCAGGGCAGGCAAGCCTCTGTCTCCAGCTCAAGGGTTAATCCTCATTGATCTAAACCAGAGATTTTCAGCTGGTGCACTGCAAGAAGTTTAAGAACATGTAATGCCTGACTATTTAATCAGGGGCACTGACCTCTTTTCCCTTAGATTGTCAAATTAAAAAATGACAACAGCCAACAGAACAATAGCTGTCCGGTGTGAATGCCCTGTCTTGAACCGTAAATGTATAGGTCATATAAAAGAGTTGCATCTTATTGGTCAAGTTGCATCATAAGGTTAAGTCCTATTGGTTAATTCTTGGTAGCAGACATTCTTATATACAAACACAGGCACCTGATTTTCTAGAAAGTCACTTTAGAGCAAAAAGGGTAGGTAATTACTACTTTTTTTGTAAATAAATCAAAATTATACTTTTTAAGTAAGATCAGCAAAAAGTATATTTTTTGGTGTGCTGCAGAATTTTAGTAATTAGTTATGTGTACATGAAATGGAAAAGGTTGAAAATTGCTGGTCTAAACCAATTGTGGCCATCTATCCCTAGCCTTTGATTGCTTAGACAGGAGCATGTGACCAGCTCTGGCCAATGACAAATAAGAGGAATTCTTCAGGTCCAGCTCTGACCTTGGGAAGGGAGCCACGAGGGAGGAATGCCTCTGCAGGCTCTGCCCTACCAGCAACAGGAGAAGCTGGACCTGGAATTCTGAGGCCTGGGGTGGCCTGAGCACCTACAGGCCCACTGACCAGTTCTGGCCACTGGCTGGAGTCTGGCGCCAGGTCCTAAACCAGGCTGCGTTCCAGCCAGCCCAGTCCCTGTTCCCCCTCCCCGGAGTCTCCTTTGGGGAACCACCCCCCTCATTCTTAGCCCATCTGGCTTGGGTGGAGCTGACCACACCTGCAGGTCCAGAGATGGGCACGTGACTCACCCCTGGCCAACCAGAGCATGGCACCAGCACCCTCTTTCCTGCCCACAGCCGGGCCCAGTGACCCAAGCCCAGGACTCTTGGTAGGACTCTCTGGAAAGAAAAACTTTTCCCACTGCAGCCTTGGGACCTAGGCCTGGAGCTGCTCGTGGGCACGGTGGCCATGTGAAGGCAGAGCCTGCCTGAAAACGATGCCAAAGCAGAATAAAGCCAGGCCAAGCAATAGGTAGACTCCTGGAAGCTGGGTCCAGCCAAGATAGGCAAATCCATCCCTTGTTTGGACACTTCTCTCCCGTCCAGGCTGCACCCTGAACAGGCACAGGATGCAGGAAGACTAATGGACAAAACCGGACCCGCCTCTTCCCTTGGCATCTGTGCACCCCCCCCCCCACAAATGCTCCCTGAGCCTCACAGTGCGCGGCCCCCACTCCTGCTCCCGGCCCACATCCTGGCCCAGGGCCGAGAGGGAACCACAGCTGAGAGATGGGAATCCACACCCACCACCTCCCTGGCTTGGCCAAGAAGAGAAGCGGCAACAACGGAACTGGCGTGGGGGCGTCCTACTTCTGCAGCCCACGCCCTGGCAGCTGAGGGCAGGCCAGCCGGGGCCCAGTAGGAAGGCACGGCCCAGCGCGGGCCCTCGACAACTCTGACGGAGGGCGTTACAGGCCCGGGTGGGGTAGGGTGAAGCTGATGGGGATTTCAAGGCCTGTGGCCGCAGAAGAAAAGGAGGAGGGTGTCTATGACATTCTTCGTGCCGGGCATGGGGGCCTGTCTGTCACCCTCTTTGTGCTCTCAGTAGCCCTACGGAGTGGTAGCCTCGTTATCCCCAGGGTAGAGATGAGGAAACTGAGGCACTAGGAGGTTAAGGGACACGCTCAAGATCACACAGCCGGCAAGTGGCCGGGCAGGTATCGGAGCCCAGCACTGCGGGGCGCGGGGCCGGAGGTGTGCCGATGTCCTCCAGCTGAATGTCCAAGGGGAAACAGGGTGGCAGGAAGGGACCTCCACCCTCCAGAGGGGCCGAGCCCTCCCTGCGTGCAGCCTGCCGTCAGTCACTTCACCCATAAGTCAGCTCTGCGTGTGCAGAGCGCCAACACGCTCCTTTAAAAAAAAGGGGCCGCTGCCTCTGCTGCGACTGGAATGCAAGCATCGGATGCCACGGGTGTCTCGGAAAAGTAAACGCAGTGAGAGCCCGGCGAGACGGCTTGGCTTTACCTTACGGCCAAACCTGTTTTCTGGGGGAAGGGTCTGAGCCCGCAGCCTCCCACCGTCGCACGGAGGATGAGCGGCCCTGTCTGCTCATCCGAGACCCCCTCACCAGTCAGGGTCGGGAGGGAGACGATGCTGAGTGACTGTCTCACTGTGGGACTCGGTCCTCTAAGCCTGTTTCCAAAATCCCAGTGTCCCTCCTGGCCCCTGGGAAACACAGAAGTGGCCCAGAGCCTTCCTTTGCAGACAGGCAGCAGGCCCAGAAATACCGCCCCTTCTCCGCGCACTGGGCATCGGGCGAGGGGTGGGGGCTGGCCCTGCACAGAGCCCTGGCAGAAGCTGGGACTCTGGTCCTGGCTGCTGTCAGCGCAGCTGTCCTCTCCGCATCCCACCCCCCGGCCTGCGTCTCCACCCACCTGAGTCCCCAGAGGTGCTGCAGAGCCCCCACAGGCCCACTCACCGACGCCGGGTCGTCTTCATCTGAAACGCTGACCTGGTAGGAGAGCTCGGCGTGCAGGAAACTCTCAGGAGGGTACGGGTTGCCCCAGCGCAGCCACCACGAGTGGGAGTCGTCGGCGTCCACTGTGAGGTTCACGGGGGCCCTGGGCTTCACTGCGGAGAAGCGGCGTCTGGTCAGGGCCTGTTGGCCACGGGCCCCGGCCCGAGGGGCTTCCGGTGAGCACCGCCTCCGTGCGGCACGGCTGTATGGTGCCACGCAGCCCTGGTCACGACAGAGGCACGGCCTCGACACTCATGCTAACGCTGCTGCCGTGACCGCCTCCCTCCAGCGACCTCGGACTGTGCCCAGCAAAGGTCCCTGAGCTTCGGCGTCCCCTCTGTCGTCCTGCACACTGTGGCCACACCTGTGTGCTGTCATTCACTAAGTGTTTCTCTTTATTTTGATTCATGTGTTAAAAAACGTAGTCTCTTTTTAAGCAATCAGATCAGTGAGATCACAAGTATATAATGTGCATCAAAATCAACATCCATATGTAAGAATTATTTTATTTTGTGGGTCTGCTCACAGGTCAATTTAGATACCCCAGCCACCAGCGGGATGAGCGGGCCCTTCAGGAACTGCTGATGGACTGGTGGAGGCTGTGAGCTCTATGAGACCTGCCAGATTCCTCTGCTACTTAATAGCTGTGTGACCTTAGGCGGATTACTTGCCTTCTCTGTTCTACAGTTTACTCAATTGCAAAATGGGGATAATAACTGTCTTCTGGAAACCGAGGCTCAGAGAGGTAATGTGACTCACCCAAGGACACACAGTGATGAATGGTGCTTTGAACTCCTGCCACCCACCCCGAGAGTTCCTGGGGACGCCTGCAGGGACTCCGGGGGGCAGGACAAGGTCAGCCTTCCGGGGTCCAGGCTGCCTGAAGCAGCAGCAGAGTGGCCCGCAGAGGGTAGGACAGCCCCCCCTTCAGTTTCTGATCTGCAGCAAGCATGTCTTCTGTCCAACAGGCCTGCTCTCCACACCCCAATCAGGGCTCTTAAATTCCAGGGCTGAAACAGCTGAGCTGAAGGGGGCCGGATGTACCGCTGAGCCCAGCCCCATTTCAAAGATGGGAGGACCATGGCCCAGAGGAGAGCAAGAACCCCACCAAGTTTAGGAAGTGGCAAGAGGCTGCTGGCGCCTTCCCCGGCCCCGAGCCCAGCCAGCTTGGGAGCACCGAACCCCGCCCAGCCTACTCACCATGCTCGCTGGGCTGGAAGGAGCCATTCCAGAGCAGCTGCTTCCCAGCCCACAGGCCCAGCTGATAGGTGTCCACACTGACCACGTCGTCCATCAGCACATCGCACAGGCACACTGTGCTTTCTCTGTTCTCGGGGACGCACGCGTGGTTTCTGCAGACACAGGGCTGCGTGAGGCGGGCACGCACACCTGGGTGTCCCCAGGACATGCCTCGAGCAAGCACATGCTCTTCCAGTTTCCTGGTTGTCCCGCCTCAAGGGCAAGATCAGGGGACTTGGAGCAGAGCAGCCAGGGTGAGTGGTGGGGACAGTGGACCAGGATGGCCCTTCCTGCTGGCCATAGCCCCCACCACACCCACCATGGACTCTTACACACCCCTGGCCACGGCCTTGGCCCCAGGACTCAGCTCATCGCTAGAAGCCAGTGCAAGGGAAGAAGCCGTGGCACTGAAGAATTCGTAACAGCCTACGTGTGCGTTCTAGCCACACTCTCTGGGTAGCACGGCCCCCCAGTGTGCAGAGGACTGGGGCGCACACCCTGTGCACCACAGAGCGACCCTAAAATGCCTCCCCAAACAGCCGGCCCCGCGTCTTGTGGGTGGGGCCCTCAGGCAGCAAACGTTTCCTGCAAAGGGCTGGACGGCACATGCTTTGGGCTTTGGGAGTCACACCTTTTCTGTCCCAACTACACAGCTGTGCACACCTAGCACAAAAGCAGCCACAGACAACGCAGAAGCGAATGGCATGGCTGCGTGCCGACAACACTATTTACAAAGCCAGGGGGTGGGCCCGCTGTGGCTCACGGGCCCTAGCTTTCCCTCTCTGGTCCCTCTGGCAGACCACCATGTACAGAAGCACCGCCCACCCACCTTAGCGCACCTTGGAAGACTGCCTCTGTCAGTGCGCCCTCGCTCCGGGGTGACCCTGCCCCTGTGCGCCCGACCACGTCCTGGGCACCGCCTGTCACGGTGCCCCGTGTACACGGGTCGCCCGGTGAGCCACAGGGAACGACGGGCCCCACGGCCCACGGTGAACCCCACCACTAACTCTGAGCCCCGAACGGCGGTCTGGTCCAGCAGGTCTGAGAGTGGCGTGGGGACCCACGGGGCCAAACCGCTTTCATAGTCCCACTAAGTGTCATCTGCCGTTTTACTCTCTCTCACAAGCGTGCCGTGGGGTTTTCAGAGGCTACATGGCGTGTTATGATGTCGTTGATCTGATGGCGTGTGTGCTGGTGTGATTTAACTTTTCTGTTTTAATTCCTTATCAGGTAAACATCGATAGCTATAAGCCAGCGGCCCCCAACCTTTTTGGCACCAGAGAGCGGTTCACTCGCTCGCCGGCTGCTCACCTCCTGCTCTGCGGCCAGGTCCCTGACAGGCCATGGACCGGGACCAGTCTGCAGCCCAGGGGCTGGGGGCCCTGCTATAAGCTCCCTAGACAAAAGCTTTTGGGGCCCTGGCAAACTTCTAAGCATGTGCGAGTCCTGAGGCTGTGGGTTCGAGAACTGCTGGTGCACTCCAGCACTCCACCCGCAGCCGCAGGCCACATGCCTCGGGGACAGCGCCCTCGGGGAGCCACACTCAGCCCCAGGCCCTCCAGGGCACTGCCCAGACCAGGCCAACTCCCAGCGCCAACCTCGCTGCCCGCCCCGCTCCCGCACAGGCTTACTCAGAGTTCAGGAAATCCAGCTGGTAGGTGAGGCGGAGCTCAGCACTGCAGTTGGTGGGGCTGTCCACCCTCCACTCGCAGGTGAAGGTGCTGATGTAGTCGGAGAAGCAGGTGGGCCGATGCAGAACCTGCACACTCCCTGGGGAGACACAGGGGTGCTCTGAGCAGCCGGGGCCCAACCAGCAAGAGAGACCCGCGCCTCCGGGGCAAGGTGCACACCAGCCTGAACAGGACCGAGGGGCCCATCACAAAACCCGGAACCCACAGCCCCAGGCACGGTCAAGCGCCGGCCCTCACAGAGCGGGGCCAGGACCAGGGCTCCTGGAGCCTCCCAGCTGGCACTGAGGTGATTCTGAAGCTGAAGAAATGCCCTGGGGTGCAGGGTCCATTACAGGGGTACCCCAAATGCAGCTTTCTGTTGTGCAGCTCAACTACTTGCCCTTGGCCAAGTTAAAGGGAAAATACCCTGCAGGCTCAGGAGCGCCACCTGCCAGCAGGCACCTGCCCTGCAGCGGTGTGGTGGGGGCTGCTGTCCACATGCCCACTCCCCACCCCCTCCTCTTCTCCACCCCGCTCTGAGCTCAGGGGCTGACCCCCAAGACCTCGCCACCCAGGTGCCCTCGTCCCCTGGCTTCTTGTTGGGTTCGGCCAATGTCAGAGGGCAGCACAAGAGGCGGGGGGGAGGGGCTTCCTCCAGGCAGTCGGTGGCAGAGCTGGATTCGAACCCGGCAGGACGCCTGTTGGGTTTGCCAAACCGTCTGGGGGCCACCACGCCAGACCAGCCGGCACCTGACTGGTGGGCGCCATCGCACTCCAGTGGCTGCATCCCGGCACCAGCCCCGCCGCAGCTGCCCTCGGTTTGCTCTTGTTCTCTGGGCGAAGGACTAGCCGTGTTCCGGAGAGTGTTAGATGTCTCATGAACGTCTCAGACTCTCCTCCTGGTTCCCTGCTCCCCAAAACCACGCCCCTCTGCGCCTCAGAGACGACAACTGCGTCCTTCCTGGCCGCTCAGCTCAGAACTCCTGAGAGGCCTCTCCCTCTCTCGCCCCCTCCCCATCTGTCTTCAGATCTCCTCTGCTGGGCCGAGCCACTGGCTGCTGGGGCACCTCCTCCCCGGCCCCCGGCCCCCACCCTGTGCTTGCAGACACAGGGTCCCTTTAATGCAAAGGTCACGCCGCCCCTCTGCTCACACCCGGCAAGGTCCTTCCAGACTCGGTCACCCAGCACCGGGCACCAGGCCGGCCTGTTCTGGCTCCTCCCCCCCCCCCCCAAGCTCCTGCTCCCCAGACGTCTGTGTGGCCCCCTCGTCCTTCCAGCCTCTGCTCCACTGTCACGCAGGAGGCCTTCCCGGGGCACGTGTTTTAAACTGCTGCCCTCCCCTCCACCCGCACTCCCGGTCCTCCCTACTCTGTACTGCAGGGTCCAGCACAGACAACGCCCCTTTTTACTACAAAATCTTTTATTACAAAGTCATAAGCATGTGCTTCTGCCACGTAACACTATCACACTCAGGCACACCACATGGTATTTTAGGTGAAATGTGCACATTAAAACTATGAATCACTACACCCACAGGATTACCCTACCAACCACATGCAAGCAGGCCTTACTTCTGCCGGACACTGTGTACTGTCGTCCTCCTAACTAACGATCTTTAGGATGTACTTATAATCAGGGCCATCTGCCCTGGCTGTCTCCTCCCACTACAATGTGATCTCCTCGAGGCCTCCTCTTTGTTTTGCTCACTGAGCACGTGGCCAGAGCGGGCAGATGAGAGGCGGTGACTTACCGGAGCCTGCCGCCCACGCCAGGACCAGGCAGCTCACGGGGAACGTGAGCCCAGAGCCGAGCCGCCCCATTGGGAGATCCTAAGGCACCTGCTGAGGGAAAGTGACCCAGTTAGTGCCGACTCGTGGTCCCCAGGACCCCCGTCCCCCAAGCGCAGCCTCCAGAACTCGCCTCACTCCAGACACAGCTGTGCCCGCCTGCCACGGAGTCTCTGCCGACACCCAGCCCTCCGCGTCCCCCGGACGTGTGCGGATAACCACAAGACCCAGCCCAGGCACACAAGGCCCAGAGTGAGAGCCACGAAACGCCTGTCCCAGGGGATGCTTGGGGCACGTTGAAAGAACAAGTCCCTCGGCCCGCTGAGTCTGAGCGCCCCCACACTGGCGGAAGTGCACAGTGCACGCCTGCATGTGGAGGCTGACAGGCCCTGCAGTGAGGGAAGGTCCTTTTCTTCGCTTGTCTCAGTGACGACCAAATTAATGTCCATAACCAACCTTCACTTCTGCGTGTGTGTCAAAACCCTAGTTAACCCCCCGAGGATTTGCAATTCCTTGAAACACAGTTGGAAACACTGGCCTAACCGCTCGGCCTCACAGAGCAGGTTCCACGGCTGAGGGCGCACCCACACAGGGAAGGGTCAGGCGGCCACTCAGAATGAGGCCAACTGCGTTAGACGGACTGCTTTAGCGGCCCTGATTCTTCACTCCTGCGTCCACGTGACCTCGCGGTGTGCCCCCCCGCCCCCCGGTCAGAGCGTTCTCCCTGCCCTGGGGCGCTGGGCTCACCACGTGACCCGCTTTGGCCAGCGGAGTGTCAGCAGGGGCACGCACAGGAGGCCCCTCGGCACCACAAGGCCTGGGCCAGCCTGGTGGGGGCGGGGCGGGGCGGGGCGGGGCGGGGCGGGCCAGTGCCGGCAGTCTCCTCCTGCTTCAGACAACAGGCAGTGTCCCCGGGCGTGTGAGCAGGTCACACAGCAGCAGGGCTGAGCTCAGATGCGTGCGGGAGCCCACGAGACCGGCCACACCCGACGCTGGCCCCGCATTCGGGCCGAGTGAGTGCCCCGACCGTGGCCCTGAGGCTCTGCGCCCGTCTGTCACTCAGCATTGGTGCCGGTGCCCATCATCGCCCCGACCCGAACGTCTAACCCCACAGGTGACCCCTGCGTTCCGTGGTTTGTATCCATGCAATCGGTGGAACCCTGTCCCTCCCTCATTTTGTTAAGGACATCGCACAAGACATGGCTGGGGAGTAAACATGAGGAGGTGCAGACACCCAAGAAGAAAACACAAGTCAAATCGCCAAATCGGAAGGCCCAGCCCTAACCCCACTCACACATGACACCCGTCCTTTCAGAAGCTACTATGAGTACAGGGAGAAAAACATGAATTTTATTTACTGAAACAGCAGCACCCTCCACATACGAAAACTTACATTTTAAACCTACTATATCGTTAATATCACTTCATGCCACAAAATTTAGAGCCACAGCACTGGACTTCATCCGTATCTATCCCTCATGTCACTCAGCTGTGCCCAGTGGGTTTCTGGGCCGCCCCCGGGGCACCGCCACCACACCGCTCTCTGCTCAGTGCCTTAAATTTAACACCTGCTGTCCTTTGCTCATTATGAACCTTGAGCAAGCTGCTACACTCCTCCAGGCCCAAGTTTCCATGTCACTGGCAGGGCTGCAAGGACTGAGGGAGCCGACAGCTGTGGAGGCCTCAGACGGTGACCTGGACACAGGCACGGCTCCATCAAGGTCGCCACTCATCATCGCTAAGGAAAATGCTCGGGAGCAGAATCCCATCGGGTCAAGGGGCATCCCCCCACACCCCTGGCACTCGACGCCAAACGCCCTCTGCAAAGCAATGTCCTGGGGCACATTCCCGGCCACACTGACAGTGCCCACCCACAACCCCCCTTGGGTCTCTGTCCCAGGGTCATATTCAGAAAGGCTGATGCCAGACCTCCTCCTGCTACTTGGTAGCTATGTGCTGTTCTGACAGTTACTGGGTTTCGGACTTTGGCTGCTCCATCTGCAACGCGGAAGTGATGCCCAGATCAGGCTCTCAGGTGTCCTGCCGAGGGAAGGCAGGTGTGGACCCAAAGTACTCTGCACGGTGTCTGGAGCACGGGAAGCGCTGAAGGCCACAGCAGGAGCCCCGAGCCCCCATCGGATGCTCTCCAGGGACTTCATCCCACTGGAAGGCTCCACCCAGCCGGGCGCCTCCCACCCCTGCAGCTGTGCCTGGCACTCCTGCCACCCACACACCTTCACTCCCTGCTGCTCCTCAAACACACCCACTCATTCCCACCTCCGCACCTGTCCACTCCTGTCCTTTTCACTCCCATTCCCCCCTCAGCCTCTCTCTCTCTTACTTGTCTAGTCACAGGGAATAAATCAACCCCCAATACTCCAGTACACTCTCCTGGACAACCACAATGCAACCGTCACAATCAGGAAACCGCCCTGGATGCACGACAGCCATCTGGTCCACTGGCCCTGTTTCCACGCTGCTAACTGCCTCAACGGCGCCCTTTATGGGTCAGGACCTAGCGGCGTCTCTGACGACCGCGCCCTCCCACCGCCCAGGCCTTGGCTGCTAAATACGACTCTGCTCTTAGAGAAGCGGCCCACTCCAAGCCCGCACTTCTGTGCCAGGAAGTTAGGAAGTGTCCCAAGAACGCTGGGGACACGTTCAAAGGACACAAGTGTCAGCTCGAATGGGTGCCCACTGGCCCGAATGGGCACAACTGAAGCGTCACAGTCAGTGTGACCCTGGCGTGAGGACAGGGACGCAGGAGTCCGCTGATAGATCACAGATGGGGGTCCACGGGAGGGACTGTTCTTTTCACCACGGCAGCCTGTCCCCCCACGAACCCCGTATTAACTATTTACTAACTATGGAGTCACACTATAATTTTCTGTGCTTTGTGTATATGATAGTACATCACTTTATGGGGAGAGCCTGGTAGGCACCACCTTGACCGAGTGGCCGAAGCTGAATCACCAGGAATGGGACGGATCAAGTCACCGCTGCTCCGGTGTGCCTGCCCCGAGGCCACAAACCCCGAGGGAGCATCAGACAAACCTAAACCGAGGGGCAGGTTTGTGCCCTTCAAACGTGCCAGGGGGCGAAGGGCACGGGGCGTGCGGAGAGCTGCTCCTCCAAGTGGCCGCCGCCCGGGCGCCAGCAGCCGTCCTGTTCACAGCCAAGATCCGGCCCATGTCGGTGCCTGGCGTCCAGCACACGCTCGTTGTATGTCTGTGAATTCGGTCACTTAGCACAGGACGTGGGGCCCCTGACGGACTCAGCATGGGCTGGAGAGCTCTCCCTGGGAGCGACTGGGTGGTGGGTCTGTGCCGTCCTTTTCCTCTGCAAAGTCCCGTAACTTTCCTTCCACGAGTTCACAGATGCCCACAGCATCCTGTGGCAGAGATGGCAAAAATGCCACTGAGCCCCAATTTGTAACCAAGAGAAACAGGGAGGCCAAGCTTCCTGTCCAAGGCCATACAGCAGAAGGGCTACCGTGGTCAAGTCCTCCAAAAGGGGGGACTGAAACATCACATAGTCGGCAGTCAGGGTGTCATCTCTGATCTGACTCTGAGGGCACTTCCAGCTGTGAGCACATGCACGGTGCACATGCACACACACACACACACACACACACACACGCCACAGCCCCACACCAGCTGGCTTCCCAGGGCGCAGGCGCTGCATTTCAGGGGAAGCCGTGGCACAAATGCAACCAGAGGAAAGGCCTCCCTGAAAGTAAAAGGGAACAGAGGACAAGGTAAAGGAATTAAAAGGAGTAATTACCAAGTGACCCAGCTCAAGCAGGTGGCAAGAGGAAGCAATGTCAAGTTTGCACGTCAGTCATGGATTCCCCACCTGCTGGAGTTGGGAGGGGTCTCAGGGGTCAGCTGCCGAGCTCAACTGCCAATCTGGACAGGGCTGCCCTGCAAATATCCCATCTCGGACATGCTGCAACCCAGTGTCTGCTTGCACTACTCCACGGATGGGGCACTCATCCCCAGGTCATGGTTGATCAGAGCCTGACTATTGGAAATAGCTTCCTTATGTTGAGCCTTGGATTTGTGCAAATAAAATCCTGTTGTCAAGTACTCACATTGTGCTCGACACTTGGCTAAGTGTGGTAGAAGTATTACCTCATCGAAACTGCCTGAGAACCCTGAAAGAAGATGGGTTTGTTACTCCCACTTTCCACCCAAAGAAACTGAGGTCAGAGAGGTCAAATAACCCGTCCATCAGTTCCCACAGCTAATGAGAGCGCAGCGCTAGAGCCAGAACCCAGGTCTGTACCCGAGGCCCATTCCAACGTGTGAACGAACGCCGACTTCTCCCAGAACCACGGGTGGAGCCCAATGAGGAGACTGAAACGAGCGGGAAAAGCTGGCCATCCCGCTTGTCAGTTCCAAACACTGGCTGCCCAAGCGCAGGGCCAGAGCACCTGACTGAGCAACATGAAAGGCTGAGGATCTGCGGTGTCTACAAAGCCCAATGAGCCAGAGGTAAAGCAGCAGCTAAGCAGACAAAAACACACACACACACACACACACACACACAACCAAAGCCATGTTAACAGAGAGGAGAGATCCAAGACAAGGGAGGCAACAGTGCCCAGCCACACCGTGCATCCCTCTGGAAGAAACCCTGCTGGTCTGGAGCTTGCAGAGAGCAGAGGACCCACATGGACAGAACCCCGCCCCCAAGACTGAGCACCCAGGTTGGTGCCGGAAAGGTGCCGCCCTCCTTCCTGCAGCCTCTTCACATACACGTTAACCACATGCCAATTGCCCTCTACATGCTTTAGTCATGTTAACTCATTCACTACTCAGAACAGGCCTGTGAAGTAGGGGCTATTATTTCCCCCACTTTCAGATAGGGAAGCCCAGGCACAGAAAGGCTTAGCGGCTGGCCTGAGCCGGCACAGCAGCAACAGCCCCAGATACAAACGGGGTGGCCAAGCCCAGGGCCTCAGCTCTTCCCCTCCACCTGTTCACAAGCCAGAGTCCTCACTGTTTGGGAGACCGCCGACCTGTCTGAACATCTGACCAAACTCCAAACCCTCTTTCTAAAAGTGCGAACACTGGAGCCCTGGCTGGTGTGGCTCAGTAGATTGAGCACCAGACTTCGAAGCAATGGGAGGCTGGTTCGATTCCCAGTCGGGGCACATGCCTGGGTTGCAGGCCAGGTCCCCGGTAGAGGGTATGTGAGAGGAAACCACACATTGCTGTTTCCTCCCTCCCCCTTTCTGTCTCTAAAAAATAAATTACTTAAAAATAATAAAAAAGAATGACCAATACATAAAATAAATAAAAAGTGCGAACAACTGAAGTTTACTTTGGAGTTTACATTCCACCAGTCCAAAGATCCCCTGGAGCCAGAGTGAGAATCCCAGGTCCAAGGCCCCCTCCTTCGCCTTCAGACCGTTTCAGGGTTCAGGTGTGTTTGGGAACGCGGCCCCCTGAGGGCGGAGCTTTGCGTCCGCCCGCCCTGGGTGGAGCTCCGTCCCCAGCGCCTGCGCAGTGCCTGGCGCGCGCACACACGCACACACGCACGCGCACACACACACACACACACACACACACACACACACACACACAGAGCAAGGGCTTATCAAACAGCTAGTAAATGAATGGTTGGCTAACCTCCAACAATAAATTCAATAATCTATCTTGAAACACAGGTATATACCCAACTTTGTCTGTAATAACTGCTATGCATAGATACTGCTTATTAAGTGCCTGGCATTGTTCTCAGAGCTTACAAGGTATTAATCAGCTTGGTTCTCACAACAACTCTGAGGTGGGGGCCACTAAAAACCCCATTTTACAGATGAGGATTCTCAGGCACAGAGAGGTTAGAGCACTTGCTTGTGGTCACAGAGCTAGGACTGGAACAACAGCCTGAGCCAGGAAGACAGCAGAAGCGCCTGGAGTGGGAAGACACCCCTGGGGCAGAGAAACACATTGAACTCACTCTTTTTATGTGGGGGGAGGTGAGTGGCGAGTCTTGGAATGTCAGAAGGCGGCAGCAGTCGCAAGTGACCAAGGAGGCTCTTCCTGAGCCAGAGGCTGTAACGGGCCTCTCGTTCCCCAGCTCACTCTTGACCTCAAACCAGTTTGAAGGGCCTGGATCACAGACAGGACGCAGTCAGCCCCGGAACAAGAGGCGTGTGGAGAGGAAGCCAGCGACACAGCAGGGGCTGCATGGGCCTCCCCTGGGGGCCACTGATCCCTGAAGCTCCAGTCTTAGGCCAGCCTGGAGCCTCCTCTGGCTTCCAAGACAGCTGGGCCGGTATGGCAGGGCGCCAGGGACACACTTCTCCCCGTGGCAGAAGCTTTCCCAGAACTGCTGCCTGGCTGGGGTTCCCAGAACCAGCAGCCACGTCAGCAGCCCCACCCAGGACGCTGAGGCAGGCCAGGCCAGAGTCCCAAAATGGCCTGGGCTCTGCCTATCTGCCCAGCCTCCATCCCAGTGAGTGACGGGAGGGGTGGCAGCAGGCTGGCTCTGCTGCCACCAGGGGCAAGAATCAGCAACTTCAGCCCACAGAGCCCACTGGGCTCCCATAGACCTACTATGTGCTCCAGGTCCTCACCCATTCGTTCATGCCCTTGTGTATTCTTGTTGCAGGTGTTTTCTGAGCACCTACTATGTGCCAGGTGCTACGGATGCAAAAAAGGCCATTCATTCATTCATTCTTTTCTTTCTTCTTTCCTTTGACAAATATTTGAGTGAGAAGAGAAGTTACTGGGAGGTTTGAGCACAGACGTGACATCATGAGACTTTTCAAACCATCCCTCTGGCTGTGTCGTGTGAAAGGCCTGTGGGGTCAAGGGCAGAAGCAGGGATCAGGGAGGAGGCCACTGGGCTGGCCCTGGCAACAGGTGCCAGCTTGCACGGGGTTGTGGGGAAAGACGGGTAAGAATGGGTTGGATTCTAGATGTCTGAAGGCAGAATGGAATTTGGGAGTGGCTGAGAGGACAAGAGGGTTAATGAGACTGGAGCCCCTGAAGGATGGGGTGGCTGTTTACCGGGACTGAGTGGGCCACGGGAGGAACAGGGTGAGGAAGAGGCCCACAGAGAGCAGTGGGGACAACACCAGCAGAAAACGTAAGAGGCAGGAGGGAGCTGTTGGTGAGCACTCACACTGCTCCTCCTGCACTGCCCCTCGAGGGCTGGGGTGGGGGTGGGAGGATGAACCAGAATTCTCTGGGCGAGAGGAGGGGTGGGGGTGTGGAGAGGAGGAAAAATGTGCCCCAGAGGGCACTGAGGGCTCCCGGAGGGCAGAGACCGTGCCTTGTCCGCACAACCTGAACACCGAGCCCAGTGCTCAGCAGAGTGGGCACTGACTGAGTGATCGATCGCCTGCACCTCACGTTAGCCTCACCGTTGGCATGCACAGTGCTTCCTGAGTGCCATGCACGGTTCCAGGTGCTTTACGGCCCCCCCTTGAGGTGAGTACAATTACTAAACCCAGTTTATAGATCCTGAAAGACCCCGAGAGAGGAAGGAATGGAGGGGAGGGGCACGTGAAGAGTGAATAGCCAGAAAGGAGGGAGGGCACAGCCCAGTTCCCGCCACACAGGACAGGCCCTTGGCTGCAGCGATGGGTAAGAGAGGATGGGGTGAGAGCAGAGAGGTTGGCAGGGCCAGAAGGCAACACTGTCTACCAGGCGTGGTAAGCAATTATGACTCCACCCCCAGGGCAGTGGGGGCCCCTGGAGGCTGGTCAGCAGGACAGGCGCTGTTTTCCAGAAATCCCACTCTGCGGGTGCGTGCAGACGACCGCAGGGCGAGATGGAGTGGCTGAGAGAGGACAGGGTGCTGCTGGAGCTGCAGACGAGGGGCTGACTCCAGCCTTGCTTGGGAAGTGGACACGGCAGAGCTTCTGATGGCTGGTGGGGGCAGCTCAGAGTGGGGAGGAGGCCTTGGGCAGACAGTGGTGCTGGGACGGGGCGCAGGCTTGCTGGGGGGACCACACACTCTGCCCCGCTGCAGACACAGGGACTTCACGTGGGCGGTAGGCCCCGAGGGCCATCCAGGAGGACATGTGTCCCCGTGGCCTGGTCTCAGGAGGAAGGCTCGGGCTGGAGACAAATTTGAGGGCCACCAGCTGTGGCTGAAATCCAGGGGGGTTGTGGGCAGTGAGACACAACTTCACCTGAGAGGGACAGGAAAGGTCTGGAGACCATGACCTCCTTCATGGGAATGGCCAGTCAGACACCCTGGAGGAAGGCACCATCTCAGGGACAGGCTGGCATCTTGTGCCAATGGCCACTTTGTGGCAATGTGTGAGCTTGTGTTGGCTGTGGACACACTGAGTCCAAGCGGCCAATGGGGCCCCTGGGAAAGCATCCAGGCAGTTGCTTCCTACAGAGATCTGGACGCCATGGCTATCTGCAGAAAGTACTGGAAGCTGAAGCTGAGGGACCCGAGTCCAGACACCACCCGTTCAGGACAGGCAGCCGACTTCCATCGCTCTACAAACCCTTCTCTTGCTCTGTTTCTCTGCTCAGCACTTAACTCCCTGCAGCATGTCACACACACACTTCCTGTTCATTGTCCATGTGTCCACTGGAACACAGCTCCCACAAGGCCGGAGCCTATGTTCACTGTCACTGCTGCAGCCCCAGAGCACAGGACCGTGCCCAGCACAGAGCGGGGGGTGGCCCACAGATGACTCGCTGCTGAACAGGAGAGTGAGTGAAGAGACTCCCCCAGCCATGTGCAGGGGGCCTGGTCAGCCGGCATTCTCCACCTCTCACTGCTGGATCATCACTGACCAATTCTGGCTGGGAGTCTCCTTAATACCCTAACACAGGCACCGATGGGCCACCCCGGGGGGAGGGCTGACCTCCAGGGAGCTGGCAGCTGGGGCATTACTGTGATGATTATGCATCTCCCTGAAGAGCAGGTACATGACGGCAGGACTCAGAGCACCGATCAGGTTTGGCTATGTTAGGAACGGTGACAGCTGTTATGGGCCTCAGAGATCCCCACAGTTGCCCCTGAGTGGCCCAGTCCCTCGAGCCAATAGACGCCACAGGTTGGTTCTCTCACAGCCCTTCTGCCCATGGGTTCCACCCTCCCCAACCAGGGGAACACGGCAGATGCAGTAGGACTACCATCCCCATCGCAAACACAGGAAAACTGGGGCCCAGGAAGGCTCAGAAACCTGCCTAAGGATGCACAGCAAATAAGGGGGCGGGCTAGCCCTGGCTGGCATGGCTCAGTGTACTGAGAGCTGGCCTATGAACCGAAAGGTGGCAAGTTCAATTCCCAGTCAGGGCCCATGCCTGGGTTGCGGGCCATGCCCCCAGCTGGGATTGTACAAGAGGCAACCAATCGATGTATCTCTCTCACATCAATGCTTCTCTCCATCTCTTTCTCCCTCCCTAAAAATAAATAAATCTAAAAAAAAAAATAAGTGATAGGGCTGAGATTTGAACCTAGACCTTCTGCCATAAACTTGGTCCTGTTACACACCTCTCTTGGCTCCTGCAGCAAACCCCTCTATGAAAAATGTGGCCAAACCTTCCCCCTGCACAGAGGGGGAAACCAAGGCCCAGAGGAGTCCAGAAACAGTCCCAAGGTGATGAGTCAGGAAGTGACTGAGCTAGAACTTGGCCTCTGTCCTGTCTGCCCCATCCTCCCCAGTGAACTTGTCTCAACAGCACCCAGGACTTTGCCCCACGCAAACCCAAAGCCAGTCACAAGTCAGCACTGACAGAGCTTCCTGTCCGTGTTCCGTCTGCAGACAGGCTTGTGGGGCGGGGTCAGGGGGAGACTCTGTCCCTCAAATTCTCCTTGCCGTCTCACCCCAGATCGTTCCTGGCAGGAAGGCACGCACAGACGTGTGGGGTCGCTCGTGTCGGCAGGGGCTCCAGGGCATCTAAGACACGGAGCACAATTCTGGGCCCGAGTGTGCGGGCCCCACCTTGACTGGGAGACTTGGCAAGCTGGGGTCCTCTCAGAGCCTCAGTCTCCTCATCCGTGAAGTGCGGGCAGAATCTCCTGCATCACGGGGTGGCTGCAGGGAGGCAAACAGACCGCGGCTGGGTGGAAGCGGCCTCAGACAGTGTTGACGGAGCAGGTGGCCGAAGCTCACATCTACGCACTGAGTAACCCCTGGGGCCCAAGTGAAACGACGCTGCCATGACCACACAGATGGGCCTCACGGGCACGGCTGAGCGAAGAAAGGGCAATGCCGATTCCATTTACATAAAGTGCAGGAGGCGACAACTCACTCTTCGGGTCAGATGTCAGGACAGCGTCCTCTCCTCAGAGGTGGGGTCAGGAGGGAACCTTCTGGGGGGGCTGATCATGCTTTTTTTTAATCCTCACCTGAGGACATTTTTTCTTTGCTTTTGAAAGAGAGAGAAACATTGACTGGCTGCCTTCTTGTATGTGCCCTGGCTGAGGATCGAACCTGCAACCTGGGTATGTGCCCTGACCGGGAACTGAACCCATGACCTTCAGTGTCCACAAGACAATGCTGCAGCCAACCGAGCCACACCAGCCGGGGCCATGCTTTGTTTCTTGACCGGGTAATCCACGCACGTGTTCACTCTGTGAGAACGAATGAGGCTGTGCTGCTGTCTGCACGTCTGTGACAATAAAGAGGAAAAGAAAAAGATGGACGAGAGGGAAGACACTGGAGCGCACAACCCAGGGTATCAGGCTGTGTCCACGGAAGGTCTCAGAAGGTCCATCTTCAGGGCTGGAAGGATCCCCAAAGACCCTGAGTCCACTCCTGATGAGGCCCCTGGGCCTTCACAAGGGGCCATCGACCTTTTGCTTCCCTGCCTCCAGCACAGGGCACTCGCTGCCTCTGGGGGCAGCTCCCAGCCCTCCGCCTCCTGCTTCATGGCCAGAGTCACCCCTTCCAGAGGAAGCTCAAATACCTGTGAGAATGCAGTGAGCAGAGAGGGGGCCAGGGGCAAGCACGTGCTCAGTCCCAAGGGGCAGCTGCACGCTGCTTCAGTAGTTTCTGTCCCGGGAGAACGAAGGCACAAGCATCACTAGGTCTTTGGTTTTTCAAAAGAAAGCAGAAATCCAGACTTTTATGTGTTACCCTGATTTTTAGGTATTGGAAAAGATTTCAGTATTTAGAAACCACACCCCACCTTTGTGGTCCCCCTTTGGCTTACAATCACCAGCTGGTGTCCTCCTGAGTGGGTGTTCTGAGATGCCAGGACAGCCCAACGAGTGGGAAGGAGCAACAGGGGGGCCCCACACCTTCCCCAAGCACCAGCACCCCCAAGGT